GTTTGTTTAGCTTTGTTTTTGAAGGACGGTTTAGTAGTAGTTGGTGAATCAGTGAGATTGAAATCACGAACGCTATATTTATAGTGTTCAGGACAAGAAAGTCTGGTTGATGTGCGCGGAGAAATATCTAGAATTGTATATTACCAATTCCATATATTTTGATTATTTATGCGTGCACGTAGGAAGGTTAATCATAGATATTTTTAAGATTTCCGAAATTCCCTTTCAGAAAGTTGAATTTCATTTTCTTCCATTTATTGTCATACTGATATTTTTAATGATATCAGAGAGGGTTTCATGATATATAGTATATGGAAGCAATAATCTAATGAAATTCAAGGCACTGCCCTTGTGATATTTCAATTGCAAACAGAAAGTCCAAGATGATGTATTTACAGTAGCTCCATCAGCCTTCATCCCATGAATATGTGAGTAGCTTAAAATGTTAAGTGTTGATATGAAGAGTTAAGTTATGAGTATTTAATCATCTGTAAAATAGAGCAGTCACTAATAATTACAGAAATACTGATCCTTGAATTAAGGATCCAGGTTTTACTGTGCCCACAAACATCAACAGTGATAGTGTAGATCTTTGTATGTTGTTTGTGGCTATCAGAAGTTATGCAATTATAAACTAAGTATGGTTTTAAGTTGTGTGTGGTAATTTCCAAACTCATTCTGGTTTATCTGGAGGAGATAGAATTTAATAAACACACATGAAATGCTACAAAAATAGAAGAACAACATGCAAACCAATTGAGAAAGTAAAATTTAAATTGCGGAAAGTCATAAGTATATGATGATTATTAAAGTAAAGGTACCTAAATTTGTCGCTTTGAGACTATTTTGCCATCTTCGCTTATCAGTTAAGTCAATGGAAACAAACCATGTAATATAGAATATGGCACTCAGGAGATAGTATGTGTGCTACTATCTATCATAGGATAGATATTTATGCATAATATGTTAATTTTCCATGCTTTCTCTTCAAAGGATGTGAAGTACCACTTCATTTCCTTAATCTAAGTAACATCATTGTATGGTGCAATGATACATTATTGGGAAATGCCAATTGGTACAGAAGTCGTGTTGCCATAGTTACATATTTTTCAAACTTTTGTGGAGAGTGCAATGAACTGGTGAAATGTTTAGTATGATTTATAACAAAACTATACAAGGATGAAATGGAAACACATATTGAATTGGTACAGAACAATGAAATTTTAATAAAGGAAGTGACAAAGAGTATGAAAAAAGAACCCTCGATTGGTGTCCTGTGCATGCGTGAGGAAACAAATGTGGTGCCTAAATCTATCACATTATTTGTCCTTTCAGATATCTTCATGTTACAATTTAAGTGAGGATATGAGTACAGCAGCTGTATCCCATTAGGTGTACGGCTCACAGATACGCATGCACATATAAACATCATTCCAAGTAATTGATACAGCACTGCTACATTCGGGATTCCAAACATAACCTAACCAAGTTGAGCATGAGCATGTCTTATGTCAATGCCGCCATCTTGTTTGTGGGCGGAAGTACAATCTAACATGGCTGTATGAATAACTATCAACAATCAGAGTAATAGCTGCCACACCAATAGTCATTGGGGGAGGGATTATCCCTACATCGGGTCTCACCCCTCGCCTCAGCTAATTTTGCATGGTCTTTTCTTCTTCCCCTTTCATTTTCCTGAAAGGCTGGCTTTATATCAGTGATCAACGGCCCCCAGGAACCATGGATACAGTATTCCATTGGTCAATTGCCTAACTCTTACCCCTTATGGGGACCCTGAGGAGTAGACGGTTTCTTTGCCCCACTTATTTCAGGCACACCATGGACAATAATGAAGATTTTTTACCCTCATTACCTGGAACCACCCAACCAGGTCATTGTTCAACTTTCAGAATGCACCCCTTCCTCACTCCCAACATTCACCACTCCATCTCCCACTACTCAATCTTCTTCATTGTTTACCCCCTCCCCCTTCATTACTACTCTTCATCCTTATCCCCCCCCCCCCCCCCAGTACTACTTCCCTCCACACCATTCCATTTCTCCCGCCTTCATCCTTCTACTGCTTACACTTCTGCAAACCTTTAGAGTACTCTCTGTGGCCCAGCCAAATGGGATCGATTCTTTGTGATTCCCTCCACAGCCCCTTAACTCTGACAATACCCTTCTCTTCCAATGTCTTCAAAAACAAGTAGGCAAAATGTCCTTTCGCAGTTGTTGCAGTTGTTCATGCCTTGTCACAGTTACATCTGAATTCGAAGCTCGTGCACTATCTACCCTGACTGACCTCAATCTATTCTTGCTGAGCCACACTCCTCTCTTAACCTATAAATGCTGGTATATTTTGAAGCCGAAAATAAAAGATTCCGGGCGGCTACAAAATCAGCAGGCGGGGCTGCCCCAGACTCTGCCCGCCCACCGGCCACGGCCCGCTGCGTGTCTCATATGTGGGACAACCGTCGTCAGTGGGTCAATACTTGTACCGGAACTGTTTCCGTCTCCCTGACTGATTGTCCTATTTATGATAAAAACTGTTCAGAATGAAAATTACCCACTTGTGGCAGTACAGTGCTACACTAATCCTCCCAGAGGCCATTGTAAGTCTTTCATCAATATTGCCAAGATTAGCTTCCGTAGACATGATCTCCCCCATGAAGTTTATATTGGTGGATTGTCCTGCTCTATCTGACCATATTAACCTCTTTCTCTTCAATGTCAGAAATATCAATGTTTTGGCCACACAGCCAAACACTGTCAGTCCACAGGCCACTGCCCTCTATGTGCCCAACCTGGTCATGACCTTTCAAATTACCCTGCACAGCTACGTACATTTACCAATTGTGGTGGATCCCATGATGAATTTTATAAGAGCTGCCCTGCTTCTAAGCTTGAACGTGAGGTAGCAGTTCTCAGATTCAAACTAGTTCTCACTCTACCTAAGGCCCATTTTTCTCCCACTCTCCCATCCTCTGCTTTTCCATGTGCACCATTCCCTTTTTGATCCCCATTATCCTTACCTCTCCCTTCTGGATGCTCATGTGAATCCCATCTGTCACAACTGTGTCCTTCTCTGAATCCCTCCCCTCCTGAGATTCTTTCAGATATTTCAGCACCTTCCTCAGTACCCTTATCTCATTCCACGGATTCTTCTGCTCCTACTTCTTTAACAGCCATCCTTACCCCTATTACCCGTTTATTTTTTCATAATAGCTATTTTGCCAATTTTCCTTAAACAATGTTCTTATTCCTTCCCCAGCCACAGATACACTCTATTTAATCCATTCGTCCTATGCCCTTAACCCTTTCCTTTACCTATGTCCGATTTCCTTCATTTTGCACTCCCTCTTTGCTCTTTTCACTAGCATACTATCCTATAACACTTAAAACCTTTGACATCTAACACATTTTATCCTACTCATAACTCCTCTTCTTTACACTTTCCACTACAATATGTATGTAACCTTTGATGTCATTCACATTTATTTGTTTCAACCATTAACCGTTTTTGCAGCAACACTTTACCATAGTGCTATATCACCCTAGATGTTTAGCATTTATTTGTTTCAACCATTAACATTCCTGCCATAGCTGTTTCTGTACTATTAACGAATTATAAAAAAGACTTACATACTATATAGATAATGATTTCTAATCTGAATCCTATTTTATTTATCTGTTCATTATGATGTAATTAGGCAACTGACTAATTAATGCATGACTTTCCTGTACTGTCCATGATGACAGCATGATTATACATGATGGTGTGATCATTTACATGTTGGTCTGGTTTCTAGAGACTGTTTATAAAAATATTTACCCAATGTCTAGAATTCAGTATTTGGGATGAAATATTTAATGCAATAGTGATCATATAACAACAATTGGTTTACCATGGAAACATAGTTGATGAAAAAGACTGATTATCTTTTGAGCTATTGATGTATATTTTCTCATATATCATGTAACAAATTCATATTTTTTTTGGTGGTTCTGTATACACACACACACACACACACACACACACACACACACACACACACACACACACACACACACACACACACACACACACACACACACACACACACTTACACACACACACACACACACACACACACACACACACACACACACACACACACACACACACACACTTAACACACACACACTTACACACACACTTTACACACACACTTACACACACACACTTACACACACACACTTACACACACACACTTAAACACACACACACACACACACTTACACACACACACTTACACACACACTTACACACACACTTACACACACACACTTACACACACACACACACACACACACACTTACACACACTTACACACACTTATGCACACACACACACTTACACACACACACACACTTACACACACACACACACTTACACACAACACACACACTTACACACACACACACACACTTACACACACACATACACACTTACACACTTACACACACACACACACTTACACACACACATACACACTTACACACACATACACACTTACACACACACACACACACTGACTTACACAACAACACACACACACACACACACACACACACATACACACTTACACACTTACACACACACACACACACACACACATACACACTTACACACACACACACACACACACACACACACACACACACACACACACACACACACACACACACACACACACACACACACACACACTTACACACACACACACTTACACACACACACACTTACACACACACACACTTACACACACACACACTTACACACACAGTTACACACACACACACACACAGACACATACTTATACACACACACTTACACACACACACACACTTATATACACACACACTTATACACACACACAGACACACTTTATACCACACACACTTATACACACACACAACACTTATACACACACACACCACACACAACACTAACACAC